ACCCTTTTAAAATGTTTTACCCACGTACTTGCTTCAGTATCATGTATAAAAATAAATCTCACGGCTGGAAACTAAATGTAAGTGACTACACTGACGATAAATGATTGTTTGCTTCTTCATTTATCTCTATATTGTTCTTCTGAAAATCTCAATGTTTTTTTTATTCATGCTATCGACTTTTCGTTTATTTCTTCAATGTCACATTAGTCATTATTGAATAGATGCGATGATAAATACACTAAATTTGTCGTCTGTCTCTAATGCACTATGAGGTTGAGCGCTTGAGGTGCAGTTTTTTCAGATTGTGGTGAAGAATTGCAATGAACGAGATCCATAATTGTCTTTCGCTCGAATTTCTTAAAATATTTTTAGCAGTCGAGAAAATTCAGGGCAAGCTGAACGGTTTTAAACTCTCTCCTAACCTTAACCTAGCAAGATATGACTACTAGATGCAATAAATATTTGGACAAATTTAAAGTCTAGTTTCTACATTAATTATCGTCTCTTGAATCCCAACCTACAACATCATATCCCATTACTTTGCATAACGACATATAAACGCAAAGAAATCTGAAAATTCGGGTGAATTATTTTTATTTAAAAGCACCGAAGCCTTCACTGAAGGATAACTTATTGTCTTTTTGAATTGGTGACATGCTCCTAAGGAGGCAATCACAATAAAAATCTTTCAGTCATGACTTCAATTAAAGAAATGTTAACAATGGTTTAGTCACTTTAATGTTAGAAAATAAGGTAAATTCTCTCCTTTCTACTGACTAAGTAGTGAAGTATGAGTTACATGGAATAACAACTAGTCTTATTTCTTGGCTTTGTAGTATGAAAGGTTTCACTGTAAAATACTTCTACCACGATGTTAAGCCTTTGATCGTTTGAAAGTTCAAATTGCATTGTTCAATTTTCAAACTCAACTGTCTAATGCTATTCATGCAATGTAGGTAAATGTTTTACCATTTGGATAATCAAACAGAAAACATATTGTAACTTGCTCATTCTCTATATATCTGATTCATATTTTCTTATATGGTAGATCCCACATGGATGGAGTTGTGAATATCCCTTTACCACCTATGTCATTCACTTCAGTTACTCTTAGTAGTTTGTCATTACTCATGTGTCATGGTGATTCATGGCCAAGAATGTTCATTTGTAGTTTGGATTCTTTGTTGATGTCAGTTGTTTGTTCATATAATTATGATGGGCCACATTGTTATATGAGCCCACTAAAGGTGGTCAGCTGATATTCACAGAAGATCAACTCTGCACTAAGTATTCTTTGAGGGATGATATAACTGGGGTATTGAAGTGATCCCTTTTCCTATTGAAGTTACCAATTGTAATCTATGGAAATAGCGATTCATGATCTCAGTAGCTACTTTATTGGTTAATGATGCTGGTAACTTCGTGTATGGAATGGTACAAACGCTTTGAATGGACATCGTATAACGGCATATGTACCTATGAACATTAACATTGGAGTGATTGGACTAAAAACGGACTGTGTTCTACGAAGATGAAAAACAAGCGAGTGGTAAAATACAATCCATGTCTTGTGGTTTGTAAGTTGAGTAAATAAGTGTTAAAATTAACTTTCATAAGTAACTGCATGAGATCGTTAAAAAGGATCCTGATGGTCTATTTTTATAATTTGAACCATAATCATGAAAAACTTCCAAATTAAAAAGAATATCAATAAAAGATGTCACATGCTGTGAGAAAACAGCTGGCTTTCACTCGCTACTTTTTCCTAATTTTATTAAACGTTTATAAGGAAAATTGCAATGCTGCAAGTAGGGTTCATTGAATTTCTAAGATAAAAATGTTGCAATTAATTTCACACGAAAAAACTGCGAGGTGAAAAAAGGAAGAGACCTACTAAGTCGCCTGGATCAGACTGACCAGGACAATGCTTGGAAATCAGGTATTAAAATTTTGTTCTTTTTAATGTATTTAAATTCTGTTTTTGTTCATTCATTATGCTGACATTTATAACGTGTTTTTATAGAGAAGCTATGTCTGTAGGCCTACTAACTGTGCAATGAATGATGACCAAGTCGGACAGAAGCACCAAGAGACAAGCGTCCTTATTGAAAGATTCACACTTGCGACTTTTATTATGCATAATGTTTAGCAGTATAACGCATTTTCAAATTCAACAGTTAAAAAACTCCGTAAAACTAAATTTTCACAATTGTTAAAATTTCTGACAAAACACACGAGTGAAAGCCAGCTATTAATGAAGGTCTTAATGAAGCAAAGTGATAATTTTGAATCAAACTAAGTCTAGTATACATCAAAAATGATTTTTATGCCGTCACAAGTCATGACGTCACTTTGGTCATTTCATCTTTCATTGTTATTGAAAGGTGAATGGTCAGGTCGTACGCACTGAATATTTTTTCATATGATTTGTGTATAGCTACTAATAGTTTTCATTTTTCTTCTGTCTATTAAAATTTTGTTAACACTCTGCGCTCTTTCATTTTTCGTTCTCTACAAAAGTCTTCGTTTCTTTTGTTCGAGCACAAAATATTTGCTGTGACAATATGGTAGTCAGCCGCTTTTTTGTCGCTCTGAAAATTTGTGCGCTACGCAATCTGATTACGCTGCATGTTAAAATAGATCATCGGGATCATTAAAAACAACAAACATATGAGACATGTTAAAACTACAAAAATTTAAGGAAATTTTTCTAAATTTTGATCTTCTTTTATTGGAGGGTTTTTTAACGGATCCACCGGTTTTTCCTTCCATTTCGTTTTGTTTTGGAAAAAAAACAGTGTCCACATTTAGGGCCAAGCAAAGCTTTTTGTCAGAACACTATTTATTGATGCTATTATGAATATTCACGTTTGTTTTCTTCATTTCATGGCCTTTGGCTATATCTCCCAAAACACTGCGTTTATTGAATACATGGCATACATTTTAAGAGAATAGGTACGGAATGCGTACATGCTGTTTGCCTGCAGGTATATAGCTACTAAATGAAGTAGATTTAATCAACATAGTTAAAATAAATTATATATTTAATATTATTTATGTCACACTTTTTCAAGATTTATAAATGCTTTTTTGTTATATGACCAAGTAATTTCCTAACCCTGGAATCCGATACTTTACTACCAAGCAGCAGAGTTTCGTGTTGTGATTCAGTTTTCATGCAGAGAACTACCTATGATATATAGTGATGGTCCTTTATCACAGGTGATGCAAAACGCGAAATGATTTGTCAAAAACGTGGTATCAAGCAATCACAAAACCATGTAATCTGATCATGAAAACGCAGGAAATAGCGTTTTCGATCCCTCTTTTCTCAATTTTTCAATTTTTCTCGGGAGATCGTGTCCGGCGTGAGATTGTAGCTCAAGCCTGCATCTGCCCCAATGAAAGCCTATAAAACGATAGAAATCTATAGTTTTTTCGTGTCTTACTGGGTGAATCTTTTGTTGACAAAAGGAGCAGACAATAGTAAAACTGTTATTTTTTCCAGGGGAAGTTGACTTTATAATTTATTTTGTGACTTCTTATGAAGTAAAAGATCATCAAATATATGAACACATAATACTACCTTTTATCTATTTAATATTATATTCATATTATTTTGAAATATATCGTAATTAATTTATTCTGTTACATTCAGACACAAATACATGTCATACAGACACGACGAATCTGTGTCATCATTAATATTTACACAATAAAAGCTCATGATTAAATTAATATTTTACAAAAAAAGTGAGGTACACACTACTAAAATTTATGTGTCCTAGGGGTAAAAATCTCAGTGGGGGCGAGGGGCTGCTGCTTCCCCATTTTTGTAGAAAATTTGAAACAACTGAATGTACTGAAATTCATAAAATTAATACTGGAGTAGTGGAGAGTGGACAATTCCACTTGGCAATTCATGCATGAACCTGATTATTTATAATCTATTTTCTTTGTATGTGCTGTTAGTTGCCAGAGAGCTATGACTGCTTCCATCGATTCTAATATTCAGTGAATCGATCTTTGAAAACAGATAATAAAATGATTTATGAAATTTTGTTGATAATAAAAGAATTTTTGGGGTTTATCAAGGAATTCTCAAAACCCCCCAAAAATTATTCAAAAATTTCGACGCTTTGAACCCCCCTTGCCTCCAGAAACTGAATTTCCAAAACTGTTGGGAAACATCACACTTCACGTGGCGTCTCTTCATCCGCTAATCGACTATTTTCAATGTCAAAATTGTGGACGAAAACAAAACCATGTTCATCGCCAGTCTCCTGTACGGGCAATGCCATATTTGTTTCGTGGCGAAGACTTTCCTGGTGACTTGAAATGTAAAAATCATTAAAAGATGAAGTGATTGGTGACTCCGAATAGATCTGAGTAAACTCATCGCTAGTAATGCTGCTTAAGTCATTATCATATGGGTTCACATATGTTGAGTGGGACTGGGGTTAAGTGGATTCAAAAAGAGAAAACTCGTCTTCCTCACGATTACTAATTGTCAATTATCATTGCTCTCTACATTGAAAAAGTTTGAGTGGTTAAGTTAAAAATATAGAAAATGTCAATAAAAATGAAAACTGTTAAATTTCCAATAACTATTAAACCAGCATTATTGTTTGTTAACAATTCTGTTTGTTTAGTTTTCTTAAAAAATTTAGAAAAATAATTTGCATGAAATCATTAAGTCATATTTCCCTGGATATATATTCGGGGTTTTTTTTACGTACATTGATATCATACTTTGTTATCGCTATCAAAAAAAAATATTCCTTAACTTGAATCATAAATTAATATAGAAAAAAGATTACTTCTATTTCTATCATTATATACTGTTAAATTCTACCAGTCCTGTTCAAACGAATGCCACGATACTGAATCTATACTGAATACATGATTCATCCGTATCGGATTCGCAAATCGCTATCAAGCAATGAATCCAAATAGATCGAGAAAAAAAATTTACATATATTCAATTTCATTTCTTCCCAGCTATGATTTCGTCATTTCCCCTCAAACAATTCGCGCTCTTTCCTGTCATGCTTTCATAGTTATATGGCGGTAAACAAAAGGTCGACAGTCGAAATGTCAGTGTATTTTGTGTAGTGTGATTGAACTGTTACCGCAGCGAATCATAATGTTTGATTTAAATTGTGTACATGGAACAGACCGGGGCAGTGCTCAATCGAAATTTGAGCGAACTGGAAGAATTTGTATGTTCAATGCTACCAGAGGCAGAGCGTGCCGCGTGGATGACATACACTGGACTAATCTTCCCCTAATCGTTGTACATGGAAACTAGGGAAAATATTTGGGATTAAAGCATTGAATGATTGTGGACAGTTAAAAGAGTTGATGGTTTCAAAGTTGTCGTGAAATTCTTTATCTCTGTGGTGAAATTTGAGCTCCTTATCATGTGTCAACTACAATAGAAGGTATGCAGAAATCTTTTAAAATAAGTAGGTGGTACAATGAAATAAATCACAAATCGGCTCAAGAGGTGGGCAAGTCTGTTTGGCAGATATGTGACATGGATGGATTTACATGGGTGTGCATGGGGTACTACACCCCAAACACTAGATTTCACCCCCTAACTAAATTGTTCGCCCCTCTAACGAACATTTTAATTACCACTCCCCAATTTTTAGTGAAACATATCAGCAGAATGGTTGAGTTTTTCTGGGCAAAATTACTACTTTCTGCACAACCTTTGATGGCTACACTAGTAGACCACCATAAATTATAGACCCTTACAATGTCTTACATCACTTCCTTACCAGCACTCCTCCCCCTAAAAAATTTTTTTAGCAGCACCTCTGTAAAGAATGTGAAAATTTGTCCTTTGAGACGTCAAACTTAAATGTATTTTCTTAATAGGTAGCATGGTCTATGTAAGTCTGAAATTAATTGGAGAAAGTAAGCATAGACGAACTCATTATTTTGGGGGGCTCCCTAACAGCCCCCTGTCTGGTTCAACTGCTCTTTAAATTACATGTTTCACTTGTAAATAAATCTACTTTATTCATATTTTTAGGTGTTTTCAAACATTTTCAGAGAGGTTAGTCAACATTAATGATCATCTCATGTCTCAAGTTATTATGCTGCAACTAGGATTTGTAGTTAATGAAAAAATGTTCTGAACAGATATTATTATGGTGCAGAATCTTGAAGCTGTCTATTCTTTGGTGCATTAAAGAAATTATTGTTTGTAATTTTATTCAAATTCAGATGCAAACATAACTATAAGCTTGTGATCATTTGTTCAAATTATTTCTCATTTCAGGACTTAAGTCAAAGTTGAGTGGACCAAAACCAATTAAAACTCACTGACAATTGTAAGCATGGCTTTACTTGGTGAGTGCTCATTGCATATTGCTCAAAATTATGAAGTGCAAAATTAAGTTACTCAAAATGCTTAAATTCAACCTTTGTGCACTTGACCACCATTTTTGCTCAAGATAACCTTGATTTGAAAATTTTTCTTTTGGTGTGGTTTCTCTTTTAAAATTTGTGGTAGCCACAATCTGCAGGTAAGCATATGGGAACATGATGTTTGCCTTAAAATGTTACCTTAGAGAGCATTTCATTGCATATCAGCATTTCAATCAAGCTTGAGTTGGCAAGCATGTCTGCCATGCTTCTAAACCATTTGATATTATCTATGAAACAATATTTATCCTCCACACCACCTTCAACATGAGAATGTAGAAATCTTTTCTATTAATTTTATCAACTGTAGCACCAATTTTCAAATATAGAAGCCCTAGTACCTCTGGTCTTGGGCAAACCATGAGGTTTAAAAATGACCATACCTTTTCTTTTATTATAGGATCTGTATTGTATGAGTTATTAGCAGAAAATACACATCGAAAAACTTCGCTCTTTTCACATGCAACCATCAACTGATAAAGAACATTCTAATACGTACCATAGTGTACATTTCGCGAACTAAAGTACGGAGATCGCTGGCATGCGGTTGTACTATTGACGTAGCGACGTATGTATGTACCTTCGTTAGAATGTTAGTGTAATAATTCACCAAAATGCGTTTTCCTCAACAAAAATGCGATTGTAACAATGTTTTGAAAATAACAAATCAGCTTATTTACCAACATTATGTTTATAATCATCTATCGTTAATTGCAAATTTATTGAAATACTTTGTGTGAAATAGAACATACTTTCATAGAAGTGCGCATTTTGTGTAATTATGAATTCAGAATTCCGATCTTACCTTTCGAAGGATACCAACTTCTCAATTACCAAGAAGAATACCAATAATGCTCATTGTTGAAACGCGTAGGTGGTTGAAAGTATTGTTTGAACGCGAAAAATTTCCCGCCGCTCTTTGATTGGGTGATTTCGTTAATACAATCGTAGATGTAAATATCAGGGCTCTGGTAAAAATACCTGTGATTGGTCGATATCACCTTCAGTTTGATCTTGGTGCTCGTGCCAGCGGAAGTAGTTCATATACGTGATTTAACTTTTTTTCCTTAGTCGTGTTTTTGTCATCGTTTATGTGGTTGTTTGGTTGTATGAGTTATGAAAAATTATATGTGTGTATGAAATTTATGAAATGAAAGAGAAAAGAAATCGTCAGAATGTGCGCGCGAGTGATGCAATTTTCAAACGTCGCACGCTTCATGATTCCGTAAACACATCGTCATTAATGTCTGTAAAACGTACAGTGGTAAGTAAAGTTTTTTAATGATTTATAACATAGATTTTGAACAAAATTATCTGGTGAGTGCATTTTATTTTATATTTGGTCATAAATGAAACAGTAATTTTGAACATTTTATGAATAATGCTGTACAATGTTGTCATTGTTATTGAGGTTTAGTTGAGAAGGACCTAAAAGGCAACACATTTGTTTTTTTTATTCATTTTATTTTAAATTTTAATTTATCAATGCTGCATTCGTTTATGTGTTAAATGAGACAACACATCTTTGAATATAATGGTAGCAAAATATTTAAACAAAAGCAACAACCTCAGTTTGGATTTAATCAAATTAATGCCCAATACAATTATATTTTTCAAAACTTTGAAATACATTAAGACTTATTATAAAGTTACCAGTCACACAGCATCTCTTACTAATCTTGCATTCTGAAATATCTGTTGGAACATGGCATTTTTTGCTTCTTCACATAACACTGTATGTGTTGGTTTTATATATTGTTGTATGTACTCCCAGCACTAGATTAATTGTGGATTTAAAATAAATCACAAAATTTTTTATTATAAATATGTTTTGGCTTTCCAGTCCACTGAAGTTGACTTAATGTAAGTTGATGTTTATAATAAAAAAGTTGTCATTTATTTTAAATGCCTAATTGTTATATGTGTTGGGTTTTTAATTCACCCGACCATTTTATACAGTTTTGAACAATGAAAAATCAAATTTGAATCTTGGAAAAGGTGACCATGTCTACTTAATGTAGATGGACTGTTCAATAAAGGTATAAATAGTATTTATATTTTGAATTTTTGGGACATTACCACACAATTGCCAAAAATAACCACTGTATGAAAAAATGTATGCTCCAAACAGATGTTTTCAAACAAGTTGCTTTCTTACATAATTCATTCATATTTAAATTGTTATGCATCAAGATCGTTCAGTTGTAGGGAAAAATGTCCCTGACATAAAACAACTATGTTACAATAAACCAAGCACCCACTAAGTAATAAAAAAAATTCATTTAAGATAATTCACTTAAGAAAGACTGGCCAAAAAAAAATCTAGTGCCACATCTTCCTCTATGGTTTGTCAAAACTACACATTATTATTCCCAATTGCTAATTATTGCTCTAACTAGTAAATCAAATGAATACAATATTTGTCACATTATCACTGTTTCGAGAAATTACATTTTTATTGTCTTTCACATGTATAAATATTGTGCTTTAGCACATGTTTCTCTTGCTGGAAACTCTTTATGACGAAATTTCTTTATTCAAGAATTTTAAAGTGAAACGAATGAACTAAAGACTGCTGAATCTTATGACAAAGACAGTGAATATTCTGAAGATGGTATGTAAAAATAACACATTTGTAAGAATTTTATAATGTACAAACTGACGAGTGGCGAACGTTGGACATTTTCTAAAGAAATGAGTTCTACAAAATCAACATTAGCCCGTTGATAGATGTCTTGAAAGCAGACTGGGATTTTTTCTCTATAGAACAGAGCATGTGCTCAATACTGCCAACAATTACAAGGGACACTATGTAGCTATGTACAAGCTTAAACCGTTAGATACTTATACATTACCATGAGTGAGATATTAATTTCACGTTCTTTGCAAAGTTTTCATGTAGCTAATATTTTTCATTGTATATTTAGAATTCTAAAATTCCTATCTAAAATTCACAGACAACGTATGTAGTTCTGGGTATGTGGTTATTGAGCAAAAACATGTTTAGATCACAACTTACGTTCATTCGTATGCAATATAAATTTCTTCATGACATGGTGTACGTTGAACTTTCATCTTTGAAAAATGTTGCTTAAAAAAGAGTGTCGCTATTTGTTGGCAACGTTAAAATTTAACTATTACGAATTTGCAATAAAAGTAAAATAATCACTCATATATTGATATATACTATTATTCCCATTTTAACTTAGGAAGAATTAGTATAAGAATTGTTTCCCTATCGACGATGTAAGTTTTCTTTCAACAAAAAATTTTTCTTTATTCCATATTTGTAGAGTGATTTACTGTAATCCAAGAAAACAAAAGTATTTTAAAATAACTTTCTCCATTACAGCTTTACCATGTCTCCTGCCATTAATAAGATAACAACTACAAAACATGGACAGATTTACTGAGGAGGGGTACTGGGTGGGGCTCACAATCTTTAGATTTAACTCCCAAAAATAAATTGCATACCCCTGCTGGAAACATTTTAACTCCCTCAATTTTTAGCGAAACAAATCAGTAGTACAGTTGAACTGAGTTTTTCTGGGCAATGTTTCAACTTTCTTTAATATCTTTGGTGGCTGCACTACCAGACCTCCCCTAAAATCTACACTTTTATTGTCGTCACTTCTTTACCAATTGACTATTAAATTAGCACTTTTAATTTCCAGTATTTTCTTGCGTGTAGCATTTACTGTGAAATAAAAAATTTCTCTACCGAAGTCTTATGCTGTATATTGTGGAACAATTCTTGTGAAACCAGAAACTCTTTTATCAAATTGATTTATTTTCGTCAATTATTGAAAGAAATTAGGTTAACTAGCGTGAGTTTATACACATGATATTTAATCATATAGTATTTCTAGTCACGCAGAGATCATATGACATTCTTCCTGAGATCAATACTTTCATTTTCTAGTCATCGTATTCATTGGAGAAGACGCCTTACGAAAATTTCGATAAAATTGTGCAAAGCATTTTCATCAAAAGGTAAATATCATGTATTAAGTATTTGTTGTTCGAATTTCAGTGACATAAGTAAAGTACATGGGAACGAACTCCTGAATTCGAATTCCAGTTTGTCACAGATTGTTAAGATTATTTCCGTGAACATTCGCTATCTATATGTTGCTAAAAGTTTGATAAATTGTATGAATGATTGTAAGCAATGCAAAATTACATGCGATCCCAAAGACTAGTCAATGTAAATCACCGTTAGTTACTGCTTGTGATTAAGAGGTTAACTAAAAGCAGCTTCCACAAGATCGAAATATCTTCGAGTCTTCGACAGAAGATAAAAATCATTTAATAAACATTCGCTCCTAGAAATGTTGGGACATAACACTTCCCAAATTTGAATTTATTGTTACATGTTTCGTTGTACTAATCACTGCAATGTTTGATGAATTTTTGATATTCGTTTTTTAAGTAACAATAGTTGATATATGTGATTCTACAATTGTTTTGATGTGAAATGAACAAACGCGCTATGCATGATGGTTGTTGGCAAATTCTATTTCAAAATCAAAGAGTTTTGAAAATTTATCTGTTGAAATTCAATTTTATTCTTAAGGTGTCGACAGCAGTAGACTGCATTTTCTTTCATCCCTTAGAGTCATCAGTCAACATATTTATTTGAGAAATGACAAAATGCTACTCTCCTTAACGGCTTTCACTTTTATTATGCACCACGTCTGCGTCCTCAAAGAATAATGGGGTTTTGTTACGACATAATGACGCATTTGCACATGTGATATTGTATAGTTCGAAATCTCTTACTTCGTCATGATCATTCTCGTTGAACAGAAATTATGCTCGTTATTGACTTTAATGCATGGCTATAAGCACGGTACTTATGACGTAGTTGCAACTCTAGATGATTTATAGTCGATGTTTATTGAAATTAAATGATATTTTGAAGTCAAAATTGACCAATAGTTTGACGTTTTTTTCTTTATACAGTGAATCATGAGCGCCGACGACGACGTTGATAACGTTGATCAACAAGAATTAGACAGTGTTTTATGTACTGAAGAAGGTAACATGTTTGAAATATTAAAGAATTTTTATTGAATTATCACCCTAAAGGTTAGAGTCCAACAGATCGTTTCAAAGATAACCATAAGCGTTCGATTTCTTTGATATTTATTAAAACAAAGCAAATAACGTTTGTCGTTTCGTCTCGACTCAAGACATCTTCAAATGAGATGTAATTACTTAGATAGTTAAGGTGTGAGGTTTGTGTGGATGTGTACTTACAGTGTAAAGCTGATATTGAGTATTGTAAGGAAATGTAAGAAAGATTGTACAAGATATAAGAGGGAGGGGGTGAGTAATGGGGGGAAATTTACCATAAAGAGAGCTGAGATGACGTGCATTCTCACCATTACCCCCTCCCTCTTCCAACTATTCAAAGACCAATTTAAGAGTTTTTAAGATCTGAAGAGAAAAAAGGAATTTATAGATAGTTGCTTCCTGTAAAAGGGCAAACAGCAAAGTAAAAGTAATAAACAGAAACTTTTGAGCATCGTAGTAAGTCTATGTAATTAGTCTGAAATGTCTTGAGTCAAGACTAAACGTCGCTTGCTTTTTTAAATAAATACTGAAAAAATCAAATGCAGATGGCTTTCTCAAACATTATCTTTTGGGATCTTATCTTTATATAAAGAATTTGATTCACACCTGGCACCTCACTGGCAACATTGAAATTTTATAAATTCTTATTAATTGTTGTCCACTCATATTTACGATGTATTTGACATATTTGACGTATTTTTTTAGTTGCAAGCGATTGTTGAAATTCATATTCCATTGGAATCCTACAGTGGCAGTACGGCCCTACGAACGAACGATTTATCTTTGTATCGAGGCAGTAGATATCAATATACTGTCCTGTTGAAGTGCTAGAAATCCTACGGAGGTACAAGGTTCGCAAAAACCTTTGGTGGAAATAAGTAGTTTGACTTATCTTTGAATCGAGACAGTAAATATCAATATACTGTCCTGTTGAAGTGCTAGAAATCCTACGGAGGTACAAGGTTCGCAAAAACCTTTGGTGGAAATAAGTAGTTTGACTTACAATGATTTATCTAATGTCAAATTTTCACATGTTTGTCGATGTAGATCGTACAGGTTAGTAGAGTCAAGAGAAGGACTGTTGTTGTTGGTGTTGACTGACGTTTTCACTTCCTTAGCAGTCGTCACCTCTAAGTTCAAGTTGACTTTCTCAAGACTCTACTAACAATGACAATCTACATCTAGAAACATGTAACGATACGCCAGAGTTCAAACCATTTACGTTATTACTGTTATTGATGTTGACTGACGTTTTGACTTCCTTAGCAGTCGTCATCTTGAAAGTCAAGTTGACTTTCTCAAGACTCTACTAACCATGACGATCTACATCTAGAAACATGTAACGATACGCCAGGGTTCAAACCATTTACGTTATTACAGTTATTGATGTTGACTGACGTTTTGACTTCCTTAGCAGTCGTCATCTTGAAAGTCAAGTTGACTTTCTCAGGACTCTACTAACCATGACTATCTACATCTACAAACATGTAACGATACGCCAGGGTTCAAACCATTTACGTTATTACAGTTATTGATGTTGACTGACGTTTTGACTTCCTTAGCAGTCGTCACCTTCAAAATTTAGTTGACTTTCTCAGGACTCTACTAACAATGACGATCTACATCTAGAAACATGTAACGATACGTCCGGGTTCAAACCATTTACGTTATTACAGTTATTGATGTTGACTGACGTTTTGACTTCCTTAGCAGTCGTCACCTTCAAAATTTAGTTGACTTTCTCAGGACTCTACTAACCATGACGATCTACATCTAGAAACATGTAACGATACGTCCGGGTTCAAACCATTTACGTTATTACAGTTATTGATGTTGACTGACGTTTTGACTTCCTTAGCAGTAGTCATCTTTAAAGTCAAGTTGATTTTCTCAGGACTCTACTAACCATGACGATCTACATCTAGAAACATGTAACGATACGTCCGGGTTCAAACCATTTCCGTTATTAAAGTTAAATTTTCGTAAATCATAATCGTTGTTAGAGTAAAAATTTGTAACCGAGAAACTAATTTAAAATAGCTTGCGCCAAAAATGACACCAATAAATTGCAACTGGAACGCATAAGGTTAAAATATGGCATATGTTGCTCAAACTAATAAGGTTTCGGTAAATTTGGACGATTCTTACGCCAACGTTCATCTTCCGAATCGTAGATTAGTTTGTGTTTTTCCGTTTATAAGACATTTAACATAAATCATCATCAATTTTTCTGTTTATAATGATTCAGGTATTTTGGAATCTGAAATTTATACATAATTGAAGAGAGCTATAAAAAAAGTATTCAAAAACGAAAACAAAATAATCTGTGGTTTGGAAGCTAATTGTTTGTGTACGCTTTTGCCAAATTCCCTGAAACTTCATTTGCTTGAACAAAGTGTGACCTATTTTAATCCCATGTGTTTCAATTGCTTTTAGCTTTGTCATTTTTGTGCGTGAGCTACTTCAAAAGCACTTCTCTGTAACACATTCCTCCCTCTAAAAAGGTCATTATTTGAAACAATTTTACTTAACTATCAGATGAACCATTGGAAGTCCAACTGCCTATTTCCACTTAAAATTTTTGCAAATATTGCGCGCTGATCAATTTAGCAAAGTTTTTCATCACTGACTATTTTTTTGATACCCCCGCACATACATCTCACAGTCACGGCCACCTGGTAAACGTTGATTGGTGGGAGAGGGTGTGTTATTCATATATTCAATTGTGCCTGACTGATTTTTTTGAAAGCCAGTTGCTTGATTTCTTAAAGTGCCTATGAAACGAAAATTTTGTTATCTGAGTAATACTTTTATTGAAGAGATATTTTAAAATGACAATGGACATTCTAAACCAGTTTATGCATATCGCATAGTCATGTACTAATTCAATTTATTTCAGTAATTTTAAGTATAATGTGCTACATATATATGTAGCAAGACACTTTATTTTCAAAGATAAACATTTATACACATTCATCCTTCACCCATACACATTCATCTTTCACCAATACAAAATACACAGGTAATTCAAAAGCAAACATTTTATATTGAGAATTATACATTAAAATGATTTAACTGCTAAACAAGCCACAGGAACATTGTATTAAATGGGTAAACAAAACCATTTTTCAAAAGGAATGATATCTGAATCATGTGGGATATTCACGATGAATCCTTAAAGTAAACGAGACTTACCGGTAAGTTGATGTTTGATTGGAATTCTACTAGTCATCAGACAGGAACGAAAGAGTCACATGAGAAGCGCGTGCGCCTCGCTTGTCGATCAGTTTTTCAACGAGAGCAGTAGCAGAAATTAAGGAGTCGAAGGAGTCACGGGAATTATGGGTAGTGCAGGGAATGTGACTCCTTTGTTCCTTAGTGATGACTTGTAGATTTCCAATCAAACATTAACTTACAGGTAAGTCTCGTTTAATTTAAGAATTTTACAACGTCATCAGTCACGTCACTACGGAGTCACATTAGATTTCAAATTTTGCGGCTGCGAGATGGGAATTGATATGTTAGACTCAATGTCATCAATCAATTATGTATTATAGAGAGGACTCAGCTCGAGAGAATATTAATAAAGTACAACACTTTTGGTGTATTTAAAGGAACCTCATAGAAGTTAACTTATGGTAAAAAGAAAAAGAACATTTAACCACAGTTTAGAGAACGTACAGTAGAGCCACTCCATTGAATTTTTCGTGCCACGCATATTTTATTACGCATGTGATTACCATATTGGCAGCCAGTAAATTGCATTGTGTGACCAATAGGATTGACAATATGGCAAACGGCAGCCAGTAAACTAAGAGCATGTTCACATGAGCCAGGTAACAGGGATTCTGCGAGGCGTAAAATGATTTTAAGTCATTGAAAAGAGTTAAAAGTGCAAAATTAACATTCTTTTCTTAAGCGCCAGAAGTGATTTTAGTCGTAATTTTCAAATCCAGCTAAATTGTTTGTCTTCATTTTAAAGGTTTTTTGATTTTCCAAAGTCCTATTACAGAGATATTGCTCAAATAAGATTTTTGTTGTGAAGTATTTAATCTTTTCCATTTGCCAAAATGTTTTAACTCTTCACTGAATCCCGGCTACTGAGCTCATGTTAAGGACCACTAATTATATATACAGCAGCCAGTTGCACAGCGCAGTGGCCCTACAGTATATTCCTATACTGTGATTTAACTCACTCTAAGTTTTCATTTTTTTGAAATCGTAAATGATCTCTGTGGGTGTTTTTTCCCTTACTGGTACCACTAATCTTTTGAATTTGCCTACTGAGACAAAAACAACAATGTGTTTTTCAACGTTACTACACATCTGAGATAAGCATTATCTTATTTTTATTACATTCTTTACTCTTGTGTCTGCAGTGTTTTTTTTTATCACAATTAATTATTATTCTGTGTAGTTGGAGTTTGTTATTTAATAAACCATTGTAAATTATAAATAATTTTCAAAGTTTTTTATAATATGAAATGACTTATGAAATACCGTATTTGTATGGAATTTTTATTAATGAAATGAAAAAAACATTTGCCTTTTCGAAAATCGTGTTAAAGCATTGAAAATCAAATCCTTTCTTAGATAGTTGATCCTCAACTCCTGAGTGAAATTAAAAGTTGCGCAAAAATCTGCCTTCGTATGAAACATTAAAATTTGCATTTACAATGTTTTGCTTATGACTGAAAATTGATCAATACATTGAATACACAGACTACAGCTGACACAACACAGATGCTACAGTACCATTTATAGCTATGCTGTAAGGTGGTCATCCTCCTTTCATGGGTTTTTTCGTAATTTTTGCCAAAAAAATTCTGACATAAACATGCAAAGCACATTTGAATGTGCCCTTAAAATCAATGCTAATCCTTATTTCTCAAATTTTTTGTCCTAATGTAAAAAAAAGGTTGGTTAACATCTCACGAGTTAGTATCGCAATCTGAAAACAGTGAGTCGTCTACTGAAGAGCTTAGAGAGGGATTCAATGAGGAAGCGACTATAAAATACTATTTTTGCTGTGGGCATGAGTACAATGAAGTCCTTGGCTTTTTATCGAAGCACCACAGTTGTAACATGAGTTACAATACACTTCTCAGACGCTTGAAAGATTATGGTCTTCATTGTCGACATGTCAAAGATTCTCCCAACTTCGATAATACATTTCAGATGGTGCTGCCAAAAATAAGAGAATTAGTTAGTGGTCCAGAGAATTCCAAGGGCTGCAGAGCGGTTATGGCATTGTCTGCGAATGGAAGGACTGAACGTTCCAAGAGCCATTGTCCAAGACTTGCTTGAAGCAATGGATCCTGAATCAACAGAACCTTTCCTGTCTGTCATATGATAAATCAAAAGAATTCAAAAGAACGTTGCTGGCATTAGGCAAGGGACATGCATTTGCAAAGCCTAGAGTCTTTTTATGTGTCTATGAAATTAATATTTTTACAATTAATCAAAAATATAAGTTTTTAAAATGTACATGGTTTTTATTGGTTTGTTAAAAGAACTAATGCATGGAGCTGAAGATTTTTTTCAATTCCTCAAAATGAGATAACATCATTTCAGGAAAACTCATTTTAACCGATTTGTATTAATTTAATGTTTTCTTAGAAATAAATACTAGTGGCTTCCACGCCTTATCTAGGAAAATGTTCGTTGGTCTTCCATAGAAATAACTCAAAAATTAGTCTGTCTCATATGAAATGCTATATCTATGAAAAATTGTTTACTGCGAAGCATATATTTAAAGTTTGTAAAAATCTTCTTTCTTTGAATAATCTATAGCATAAAATGCAATAAGATATTTAAGACTTATATATTTTGAGTAAATGTTGCTGAGTTTGAAAGTTACGGAGTAATTTGACATTCTAATTTAGGTTTAAAACAACCAAGAATCAGATAGTTTTATAAGAGGTGATTTGATTACATGAAAATGGAGTGAAAAGACCATTGAAATATTAAAAAAATCAAGTTCCAAAGTTCTGTGTTAACCAGAACAGTGTAAACAATGGTACATAATTTTATGAGTTTGTCAGTTTTAGACAGAAAGTGTTAAATGGAGATAGTTAATATGGTGCAACATAACTTCAATGTCAAAAGAATTAAGTTCCTAAAATTCTGTGTTAACCAAGTAATAGATGTGATAGCCAACCATTAGCTTATCTTGATTCTTTGCACAAATCATGATTCTTAGCACAGCAAGCAACAATCATGGAGGCAAGCAATACAGTATACTTGACTGAAGCTTATAGTTTTTACATGGTGATAAAGAATAACATATTAGATTTCTGTTTATACACCTTAACTGATGATTCTATCAAAATCAACCACGCAGTCTTCTGTTCAAACTTTTAGCTTGAAATAAGATTTTTCCGCTAATGAATTTAAAGTGAGACGTGAAGACGAAAGATAATGCAATTTAGCATTTAAGAACTCGTTTACGAATAAAATTTACATAATTTTATTACGATTTAGGCTTGTTCCATTCTGCTCAAATTTACGCACATTGTACCAGTGTACCAGGTGATACTGAGGCCAAAGTTTGTCGTTCTGGAAATCTTTGTTTGAACTGATTGTGTGTTTTTTGTAAGCTACCGGTTTCAAAAAACGTTTTCACAAGAAATGTGCCTTCTGCCATTCTTAATTAGAGCCACTGCGTTTGTAAAGCATACGATACAAGAAGTTAAATTTGGATTAGGTCTGTAGTGATGATTAGCATTTAAAAGCTTTATGGGAGTAAATTTGAAAGAAAAAAAATGGAATTCCCACTAGCGGAAAATTGTGATTTTTATGAACTTTATTTGTAAAGAAATACTCCTTCATTTCACAACTGAAAGATTCGTACAACATGTCTTTTGAAAGGTAAATAAATAGACTAAACAAAGTAGCTCCAAAATAAGGGCTTTGGCATTTCAACTGTCAGGGGGAAAATGAATTGAATTTCAAAAGAAAACACAAGGGCACAACTGAATATATGAGTATACACCCATCCACCCCCACCCCCAATTAACGTTCTAGTTACGACTTTGCCTGTTATGATTCTCAAATAAGGCCAAATTTGTTGTTCGATTCTGAATGTTATGCGTATAGTTATGAAAACGGAATATTGTGAAAGTGCTGAAGAACATTCATCTGATGATAAGTATTAAATCTTTTCCACTTGCCAAAGTCATTTAACGCATGGCTGAATCCCGGGTACCCGGGATCAGTTAAACAGCCCCTAAATTTTCTCGTAAATGTATACAAACTTTGTATATATGTGTGCAATTAGCTGGCAACTTGTAAATATGTCATTCTTTCTGATGTTGATTTTTAAATAAAACCGAAACATTGCCGCGTAATTGTCTTGTTTTATAACTTTGTGGTTACATTATGAGTTACACTAGGTTACACTATTTCAGGTTACAAGATGCCCTTTTACGGATTATACTTATTTTTAACTTTTTGGTTCCAATTAGTTTTATATGTCTCTTTCGACCATTTTATCATATATATAGTTGTCCAAATTCGTAGGCTCCATATTCAAGTCATTTATATCTAAAGAGTTGCAGCAGCTAGGACCAACATATTTAGTGTTTATATTCGATAAAAAAGTCCCAGGTTTTAACCACACTAACTTTTTCGTCCTCTCTTAGCTTATGGACAGACCTTTTGTGTTCACTATTCCATAAAAACACGATTCAATTAGCAAAATTTTCATTTTGTGGCAACTTGTTAAAGTGCCATAGTCACGTTTGTTGCTGTGGAGGTTTCAAACTGACGTACGTTTCTAAGGAGGAAACAAATGTTTCCACTCGGTGTACTTTGCAAGATTTGCAGATGTTCAATTAAGAAATAAAAGATGTTTATTGTGGAAATATTAAAACCGAGGAGACCTTTGAGAGTACTCGAAAGCAGATCAGGGCGAAAACATCTTTATATTTCTTTTATAGAATAACAATAATGTAATAAAGATAAATTCAAAGCAAACGTTTTAATATTTCCTCTAACATGAATAAGAAGTGTTTCGAGGAGAACGCACTGAAACTAAGATGGAAACCATTTTGACGTAATTTATTATTATAGAATATAAGATTTCTTGTTGAATTTTCAGGTTTGCATTAGCTAGTTGTTGTGGAAACGACCGCATGTAGTGCTCCTGTCATTACGAATAATTTATGTGTGTATTAACTTCACTTTACGGTTTACTCTCGGCATTAATATAAATAATATACGTAAGCTAGCCAGGATCTGCCTCTCATTCAGAAAGAAAAACTGTGTCGCTTTAGATCATCTTTTAATTGAATGCCAGACTTACCTTTCGTATTTGTCAGGAAGAAATTCATTTACAAGAATTGTTAACATTGCGCTGAGAGAATACTTTCGTAAAGTCAGTAAATACTGGTGTTGAAAGCCCCATTTTGTCTTTCCAACCTATTGTTTGTGCTAACATAAACAAGCAGACGCTCTTTTCTGAATGCCCATACCCATCTCTGTAAAAGTTAAATATCAATAAAGTATAAAAAATGGTTGTAGGTTTTACTTGTATTGACGTGACGAAGAAGGAAAGTACAATGAAACGTACTTTTCCACTTTTTTCGTGTAAACGCTTGTGGTAGTTATTTGTGCAGTACATTTTGCGGCCGTGCAATTGCTAAGTCTGTATTCTTTTTTTTACCTTTTTGTGTCTTATCCACGTGTTTTCCAGCCACCTTTTAAAGCTGTTATTGGTCTTCCACTCGCTAGTGTCTTTAACTTTTTGCAGGGCATTTTCGTATGCATCCTCAGTTCTTGACCGTGCCAATTGTCTCATCAAAGCCAATATAAATTCACGGTTGTCTGCGATCCATTATCTTTTTTAGATGTCCAACGTTCCCATGCTTTCTCTCGATGAAAATCGCAAAGCAGCACTTTGCAGTCTGAAAATATACCCACATGTTACACTCCATGATGAATTGCAGAGCTACGTAGCCATGGTATATAGAACTTTTTAAAAGGATGTTTAACTTTGTCAACACGATTACATATAAATCGTAAAATGAAAATAATCTGCACGTAGAAATTGATCAACCCTTTCTTCCCTTCCCATGTCCAAAGTTTTCTGATATTATTATTATATTTGATTAGCGATGGAAGAAATATAACTTGTGAATTGCTGTTCATTGCTTTTATTATTTAGGTGTTACATGGTTGATTTAGTGCAATAAAGAATGCCAGATGTTTTGGTCAAAACCTCTTGCAGCTCGTGCCTCATACCTGGAAAAACAAACTCGATTGATTTTATTTCTTCTTCACAAAGATCGGTCATCATATGCTGTGGGTTCCATCGTGGATTCCATTGATGTAAAATACTGAGAGCTTCCGTTATACTAGCTGTTGTTTCATCTTGTATTACAAAGAATGAAACGATAGCATAATCAACATTAGTCTTCACAGCAACAAAAAATAATGGCAAGGAATACTTTGTGGTTTTGTATGTGGCATCTAGGAAAGCTAGTTCCTGACCATAACGACAAAGTAACCTTGATTGCCAAGCCGTTTGGTGTATAAACAAAAGTCGCCCTTTTTGCTCCTTTGCAGTCGTCATAACCTCTTCATTTAAACTTATGTCGTCATCGCTGTCTTCTTCATTTTGTAAGTCTGTATTTTTGAATTCACTGCTTCCTTCAACGTATGGACGGAAATAAATCTATCGTTGCTCGAAGCCTTTTCGCATTTCCATTTTTCAACCAGTCGAGTGACGTTGTCTTGGTCCATAAATGAAAGCCTGGCTCTCATTGCCGCGTTGTACATGTGATTTTTTATTGTTTTAGCTCTGGGAAAGTATCGTCGATTGTCACGCAGAGGTTGTTCTTTTCCTCGAAAAAGCTCATCCTTTATGTATATTTTCAAATGACGTTTCATCTCATGAACAGTTCGCACTCCTTCACTGACAAGTTCTTCTATCTTTCTAATAACCTTTTCATCTAGTCGTTGTGTCATTCCGCTGTGCTGAAATAGCAAAAGGCAAAACTAGTTAGTCTCATGAATTTTATCATGCAAATGCCACAAATGATTGTGATGTTCTTGTCTACAGATTGCAAGACGAGCATGTCAAACAAGAGCATATACCATTCCAAGTCTGTGCGTGGTGTGATCTTCTGGCCGCGGAAACGAAATATAGATTCTGCGTTCAGTTTTTATTGAGGAGCTGGGGTTTTATTAAATGGGCTCGCAAATCAGCAGAGGTCGTGTCACGTTTCTACTTTTTAGCGTCATGTGGCACCTAAAAATATTGCACTCTAATCTTTTAGAAAAAAACCAATTTAACATGTGTATACTTGTCGATTTACTATGAACAAAAATAAAGCCACAGTATGAGCAATTTTCTTTTTTATTAGTAATATACCTTGTATTCTGGAAACTTTATTACTTCTTTCATTTGTATGATGGCTGTGCAATCAAGTTTTTTACTATCTTGCTTCCAGAAACGTCTCTGTTTTATAGTATGATCTCCACGGTCGCCCTGTAATATGAGTAAAACTTTAATTTTTAAGTCCAATTTACTTTCATTACCTAAAGAATTTATGAAGAGTAGTGGTGTCATCTAGAATAATTACCAGGAGATTTGATTCATGTTTTTTTTTCTGATAAACGTTTCTGTCTACACCGTGTTGGCATTCCAAGACATTCGTTCCAACCAAATAGGGTACATTTTTTCAGTACCATTTAGATTCGGTGTGGTTTTAGGTCAATTGTAACAGTAGTTTTCATAGATTATGTTAACATCCAGCGAAGCAATATAATATGTTACGTGAAGATGAGAAGATTTCGTTAACAAGGTGCATTTTAATAAATTAAAACAGGCCATGACCATGTACGATTATTATATTGATATTATACAGCAGGAAATGCACAAGATGAATCCTAACAACTTCCGTAAATACTTAGCTGCAGATAAACGTTACATTTTTAAACCTACTGACTTTATTGATTTATACTTGGTTCAACAAATGTATTCGACATTCTACTAAAATAAATACTTAATAATGTGTGATGATTGCATCATCACGGTAGAGTATTTCAAATATTCGCGCTCAAAACGCATTTTACCGGTGGCTCCAAAGCTCTTTGTTTTCGTGAAGACTGTGAATTTTGTCGTGTCGCGTTTTCAAAATCCCTCACGAGCTCAAGCGCTTTTTCCAAAGAACTTACATAACCGAAAAAAGGATTTTCTTCGTTGACAATATTGTCAATTTTTGGAATATGTAAATCAGATAAAGTATAATCTTCCATGTTACGAAAGAGTAAGCGCGATGTAATATGTAAATATCTGAAAATTAATTATTAATAGCTTTAAGTAGACAAGTTAAAGCTAAAGGGCCTGGGCACAAGGTGCTCTACCATATCTGAAATAGCCTTCACCGTTATAAGATATGCTAATTCTATATGTCAAGGAAATGCTAAATACAAATAAGAAGACATAATTTCGGAGAGTTTAGATCAAATGGGTGAACTACAAATGTAAAAACAGCTGTCCATTTACTGAAATCTACTGTTTTAATTAAATATTTTTTTTTCAACAGTTGCTAGTAGCATAACTAATTATTTGCCAACCAATAAGATCCTTTCAATGTCATCAACATTCCTTTTATCTTAGCAACCTGTTTTGTTTGACTGCGACTCTACGTCTGCTATGATAAGGAGCTTCACAAATTCTAAAAGCAATCGCATTGAAACAGATGCATCATTTTTTTCGAGATATTTTACGGTATATTGACAAATTTCTGATTTGAACAAGCTTTTCACTCCTCTCGACACAGGTACGTCTGATTTACACGAATTTTTCCTTATTTAAGTAGAGATGTTTGTTCAAAAATCAAATTTTTTAATTGTTTGGTTTCTGATGTCTGATAAAATGACTAACAAACGTTCAAAAATATACTGGCTATATTACCAAAGTGATTCTTGTTGCTCTTATGATAGCTACTAAGTTCGTCTATTCTCGCAGGATAAGATTTGTACGTTTTAAATGTCACTATTTCCAGATATGGGATTTCTTGAGAAAAACTGCTGTGATGTGAGTCATAACAGGTCCCTGTTAGTGTTATATATTTTCTATTCACTTTTTTAATACAAAGGAAATCATTTGTATCAATCAATGGTGATATAGCTAGACAGAGAGCCAGGCAAAATTCCCCTGGCAAAATTCTTGGGTCCACTAAAATATATTGTTTTATTTGCATTACTAGGGAGCTTTAGCAGAGCCTACGAGTACGAGTACGAATTACGTCATTTTGGCGCGAAAACATTGTTGCGATAACAACAACACGTAGCCGTCATCAATGTGAGTACAATGTTTTGTAAAAAATTCGTAGTCTCGACTACGATGTCTTTTTAAGCAAAGAAAGTAGGTATATTTCTTCATTCTGTAAGAAATTAGTTTGCAATAGTATTTTCGAGCATCCAGGCTTTAATTTAGAACCCTTTTTGAGCGCAGATGTACTTTAAAAAGGAAAACATGACCTGCAAAACTTTCATGTATTTCGTACGCAAAGTGAAAAGTAAACAAACAATAAAATAGTACAAATATATCGTACATAAAACTTAAAATAGTGAAGATTTTTTAGTCTAAAGAGTCTTATATTCTCGCAAAACCAGTATTACCGATTTTTTAATATCATTATTAACAAAAAGAGCCGTAGCTGCTTCGCCAACGTCGGTGTTTTACACAATAAAAAGGCTCGTTCTGTTGTTTACAACTAAAACAAAATTTTGACGAAGCGACAACGACAACAAACTTCCTCGTGCCATTCTCTTACACGGTCAAACGTCGTACTCGTTGTCGTAGTCGTACTCTTGCTAAAGCTCCGTAATTACAACAATGGTTGTGGCTCATCTTCCCTTTTATCTCCTCCCCTTTGACAGAAAATCCTGGTCACCGCAATGATATATCACTGCTGTTAAATATTATAGATGAAGGAATCACTAAGAAGAACTTCATCTTACTAAGTTTTGACTTTCCAGGCTGCTGTCGAGATTAGGATTAGATTAGGATATTAGGATTAGCATCAAGTTGTAAGCACTTTGTCCAAAATGCATAGTGGGAGACTTCTTTGAGCAATGGAAGTAGCAGCCAACTGACCACAAGCTTTAAAATTTGCATTCTGAATATTGTACATAAGTCCCAATTGGTGTTCCATTGGGAAACAGTGTCAAATTCATTTGCGAGATTGTTACCACAACAAACACCATGGTACATGTGCCAATTCTTCAATCCGGGACAAAAATCCTAAAGTCGACACCCCACTAAAATTGCAATGTCAACATAGTTCTAACTTTCAAAAACAAAAAGAAATAACTTTTTTGAAGCTCTTGACATGTTTTAGAAGGTTCACTTTAGCGGGAGGAAAAACTTTGAATAACATCAATATTTACTCAGAAACATACTATATACATTTCTCGTCAAATGTAAAGTTTGCTTAAACTAACCAATTTTCTTGGCAGAGATTGCATTTTCATATTTTTAAAGAAAAATCACATGTGATGGAAAAGAACATTTAACCACAGTATAGAGAACATACAGTTGAGCCACTCTATTGAATTTTTCGTGCCACCCATATCTTATTACGCATGTGATTACTATATTAACAGCCAGCAAAATGCATTGTGTGAGCAATAGGATTGACGATATGGCAAACAGCAGCCAGTAAACTAAGAGCTTGCTCATATGAACCCGGTAAAAGGGATTCTGCGAGGCGTAAAATGATTTTAAGTCATTGAAAAGAGTTAAAGCTTTAAGTGCAAAACTTACAACCTTTTCTTAAGTGTCATAAGTCATTTTAGTCGTAATTTTCAAATCAAGCAAAATTATTTGTTTTCATTTTAGAGATTTTGTTAGTTTCCAAAGTCATATTTCAGAGAAATGTCTCAACTAAGATTTTTGTTGTGAAGTATTTCATTTTTCCATTTGCCAAATCCCGTCTACGGGCTCATGTGAACAGCCCATAATTAAATATACAGCTGCCAGTTGCACAGCAAAGGGTCCTACTTGAAATTCGCTCTGAATTTCAAGTAAATGCGCTATGTGGGTGTTTTTCCCTTACTGGTACCACTAATCTTTTAAATTTGCCTACTGAGACTCAACTACAATGTGTTTCTCATCGTTACTACACATCTGAGATAAGCATTATCTTATTTTCATTACATTCTTTACTCTTGTGTCTGCAGTGTTTTTTATCGTAAGTAAATATGATTCCGTTTAGTTGGAGCTTAAAAATTATTCATAATTTACAACGGTTTATTAATAACAAAGGTTTTTTATAATATGAAATAACTTATGCAATAATCTATTTGTATGGAATTTTGATTAATGAAAGGAAAAAATACTCGCATTTTCGAAAATCGTGTCTTAAGCATTAACATTCAAATCATGTCTTAGATAGTTGCTCCTCAACTCCTGAGTTAAAACTTGTGAAACTTTATTACGTTTAGCACGAGTCCTTGGGTCTCAATGTTATCTGGACTCTGTATGCGGTACTTATTTATGTATTTTTATTTCTATGGCAATTGCTTTCAGTCAATGATATATACTTTTTTATCTTCGCTCGTTTATTTAAAGTGTTTATGTAAAAAACTCACATGGTAAAAATATTAATGTTACGATAAGGCATGAACTATGACCGCTATTTTTTAACAAATATGTTTGTGGTCGCGTTGTTTATATTAAATCTCTCATCCGTTTGTTAAGTATGTGACATGTAAAGTATTAAAGCGAGCATAATTTTGTTCACACGGTCGTCTTACTTCTAAAACGAAGGTAATTTTAGAAGAATTAAGCAATATTTAAGAACTACATTACCGACATAACAAATTAGCTAAAGCGGCATTTCGATAAAGTATGACTAAACATGAATGAGAAATCATATCAAAATTGATATACCAAGTTTCTAACTATTGACAATAAGCTGCATGGTAAAGGAAAGCAAAACCTGTTCAAAGGTATGGGAGCGGTGAAATAGCATACTTGTCTATGGAAAAAATGAGAATCTGTGAAAATTTATGTAGGGGGATAGCATGTCCAATCATGCATCACCTCCCTATTTTGCCGACGCCACTTTTGACTAATCGCTGTGTGTCTAACAAAATGTTGTTAATTGTATCGAGCAAACCATTTATTTTAATAGGAAAATTTGTAAAATAAGCAAAAGTTAAACATAGGAAGAATGTATTTACACAGAGAAAGAAGGCAACAGAATCTATTTTTGTGAAATTTCGATTCATGCAACACAGTGAGCTTTTAAAATTATACTTTTGATCATGTTTGTTTAACTGTTTTAAGGCTTACTTTCTTGGCCTCCTTTACTGTTGTATCTACAGTGTCTTTATTGATCATAAATAATTATAATTGCGTGCAGTTGATGTTTGCCATGTATTCATAGTTTACAATGGTTTATTCAATAATAAACGTTTTTTATAATATGAACTAACTTATGCAAGAATATACATGTATGGAATTTTTGATCAATGAAGGGAAAAAAATCCATTCACAGTTTCGAAAATCGTGTCTTAATCATTGGCATTCAAATCCTCTCTTAGATAAGTGATTCTCTATTCCCGAGTTAAGACTTGTGAAACTTTATAAGATTTAGCATTAGTCCTTTGGAATTTGACTAATCTCAGTGTTATTATGTACTCTGCATGAGTTTCTTATTTGTGTATTTTTATTTCTATAACAATTGTTTCTAGTCAGTGATGTATAATTAGTTATATAACTAGAATGTTCTACATAGATGTCATTAGTGTTTTACAATACTGTTTGTTGAAAGAGATCCTGACTCACTCTTCATTTTCGTTCGCTATTTAAATGTGTTTATGTAACAAAACTTTAATGGATAAAAGATTGATGTAAAAATAAGGTATAATTTATGATCACCAATTTTAAACTGATATGTATGTGGTCGTGTACTAATTCAAAATCTTTCAGTAATTTTCAGTATAATGTGCTACATATATATAGCAAGACACCTAATTTACAAAGATGAGCATTTATACACATTCATCCTTCACCCATACACATTCATTCTTCACCCATACACATTCATCCCACACCATTACAAAATACACGGGTAATTCAAAATCAAACATTTATATTAAGAATTATACATTAAAATGATCTAACTTCTAACCAAGCTACAGAAACATTGTATTAAATGCGTAAACAGAACAATTTACAAAAGGAATGATATCTGAATCATGTGGGATATTCACGACGAATTATATACCAACACTGACAATAAGTTTATTGACATGGATTGAGACAATAACTATAACATAATTTTGTTAGCTGTTTACACACGTCTGATAAGAAATAGGGGCATTTTATGTGACTTTGCTTTTACCATTAAATATACTAGCTCCATGTTTAGACATTTGACTCATTCATATCATTTCTTTATGCATACAACCTTTGTGCTTACTTTGTACATGCCATGATGACGTTTAGAATTGCAACAAAGAAACGAATGAATAACAATAAAGCCTTCATAGTTGCTCGATCACAAAAATCAACTACTTTGCCGCATCATTTTATAAACTTCGTGTTTTAATACAATAGAAAGCAGTGAAAGATTTTACTGAGCTACATGATGGTCGCCAAATAAAATACGCGCTTTTTGTTTATGATTTGTGTCACGTTTTTCGCATCAAAAATTGCATCGTGACATGAAGTAATGAGTGTTCTTAAACAAAGCCACTGAGGGCATGCGCGGGCATGATGATGAGTGCAAATCATTGAGTTCTATAATAACTGTAGCGGGTAATCTCAAGCGCGGCCTTAGATGTCTGATGACGCCAAAAAAATGGCGGATTTCGTCCGTTGCCTCTGAGTTTTACCGAAATTGACTGCTTTTCCGAAAATTTCACAATTTCCCATTCCCTCCTAAGGAAAGAGTGAGGAAAATGTATGTGAGTATTTTGGATTCGGCAAGCAATTTTTTGATGAAAATCAAGGTAAAAACCTTAAATTCATAACAGCGAGTCAACTGTGGTTGTCAGTTATCTGCTCGTACGAGGATGCATTTATAACTATCGACGAAAGAGCTATATATCGGCTACACATATATGAATGCAGATGTGCGTCGTTCTTTTACCAGCGTCAAACTTGTTTGATCGATTAAGCTCTTTAGTCTATACAAAAAAGTATATCATAGTTCATCTCCACGGTTCACGAGAGAGAAGTTAGCTTATTTGTTATCATTGCTATTTTGCTTCTTTTCATGCAATAAGCAATGGCTTTTTTTGCCACAAATGTAGGATTCTTACTTGTTTCTTTAAAAAAGTAAATAT